AGCTTGCTCGATGATAGAAGACATTGCAGCGCATTCATACAGGAGACTTAACTGAAATGAAACAAGTCTTTTGTGTGGATAAAGCGCAGCTGCAGGAATATATATGGGTAACTAGGTCTTTCGAGCGACTACCACCTACCACGGGAAACCGCTACTCGTAAAGAAGAGTACTAGAAATTCAATGGGGATCTACCAAAGCTAGGGTTCAGTAAACAGTAGTGTCCTTGTGGACTCTTATTCTTCAGGTCGGAGCTCCATCTGAAGCACCACCCATGCGTTGATGTTTCGGGTAATAATACATTGGAAATGTATTATTACAGAATTGCATTGGAAATATGCAAAACTTGTCACTGGTCGTCTTTACTAAAGCAGGGTTTCTACAAACGAAGAATCGATTACTTTCTGCAGGCTTCCATTGGAAGATATTGGTTGACCTCTTATTTATAATTTTTTCGTGATTTGTTAAGGCATTCAAAACCAGAAAGAACTTCCTTTCGTTGCAAGAGTAGGAGAAACCTAATTCTGAGAGACAATGTAGGAGAAACCTAATTCTGAGAGACAAAATGAACAACGCTCAGGCGTGAGCCACGTCGTGAGCCTGATATATCAAAGGAACCAGGCTTAGGGCAAACGTGAACTGTAGCAGATTGGCATGTAATGACATGAAGGACAACGATTCCAATGACAACAGTGGGCAACGTTACTTTTATTGGTAGCTCCAGCATTTACTCTACAATCGTGAACCAAGCAACAACCACTTCACAGAACAACAACGGCTGTTGACTATTGCTTGGTCCACGGCTCCAGAATCAGTGCTGGAGCAACCATTAAAGTACAGGATCGGAAACCATGTACAGTTTGTAACACGCCACGGCAATCAGTAGGGGCCCCCACCCCCCGCCTTCTTGCTTTACCAATGGTAGTCGCCTAGTGATCGATTTCGGAAGGAAACAACCAGTGAAACTGCCGCAGGTCGGATCAGTTTGTCCCTTTTGAAATCGGCCCAACTATTTGCTACGATGCCAATTGTATGACAGGTGGTTCTCCAACACCAGGTGACACAGTGACACACAGGTGGGGTCTCCTGACTGGGCACGTGTCCTTTCGCATCTTACTATGCTTTAACGGCCGCTGTCCCTATATGTCTTTGGAGACATTCGCAACAGGAGGTCGGAGCAACAAGACATAATCACACATGCAACAGGGCATCATGCATATTCAAGACATAGCAGCATTCTGCTCGCATCTGATTCTCGAACTGACTGCCGCGAAAGGTGAAACAACGATTTTGTCCTACACGGGTTATCACAACAAATACGCAAGCAGATGAGTTCGCTTCAGTGCCTGACCTAAAGCATACAGTGTTGCCGCACTCTAAGTGGGCACCAGGGGGAAGTCGACCTCATGAAAGACACGATCCTCACCTCTCCGTCCGGGGCATCATTCGTGGGTGGATAGAGAACTATTCCTCCGTAGAAAAGTGTGCGATGGATGTCAGCCACTAATGATCCGACGTGACGCTGAGTCATCACTTTCTTGCCAGCCTGCAGTTTTATGCTTTACTGTTTACAGAACAGCTGGAACAATACAGGCCTTGGGATCATTCCAGTGTACTGGACAATTTCGAATTCTCACTAGAAATGAAAAATCTGCTTACTGGTGGGAACTTCCTGTCATGTATGTAAGCAGCAAGACCAGCCGACCAATTTTTTGCGTTTCCCTCATTGATGCTGTAGATCCTTCCTTTGTTAGGAAGGTGTATTTTAGGATGCTGGAGAAGTACGGATGGCTGATGGTCGCCCACCCTCCCTACAGCCCTGACCTCGCTCCTTCTGACTACTGGCTGTTCAGCCACCTGCAGCGCTATCTGGACGGAAAAAAGTTCGAAACAAAGGATCAGGTCAGAAAGGCGCTCGACGACTTCTTCAAGTCCCAGCCTCCGTCGTTCTGGAAGGATGGAATCGACAAGCTGCCTGAGCGCTGGCGTCGAGTAGTGAATGGTGATGGTGCATACCTCTAATCTCCAGGCTGGTTCGCTTTTGAGATATTTACAAAAAAGTCGTGTATAAGAACTTATGCGACAACCTAATATGAATACAGCCTTACTTTTGCTACGAAGTCATCTGCGTGATTAAGAAACTAGAGAATCACAATGTCGCGATTGCTATGCTGGAACAGTAATCAACTACTTAGCAGATTGCGGAAGGAGCTGATCAACTCACCTCATCTCTCAGCAAGTCTCCAGATGAAAGATGAGACAAACCATATTTTGCAACAATTTTTTCGCATTGCGTTCCTTTCCCAGAGCCAGGACCACCTAAAAAGTGTAGGACCGAGATATCAATAAGTATTGGGTTGGCACATAAGTACTTTCGTTTTTTTTTCAACCGGGAATTTCGTTCCAAAGATAGTTTTAGAATATCAAAACGGCTTCGGTTGAGGGAATAATTTTTGTGGATTTTTTAGTCGTTGAAGTTGAAAGCGAAGTCGGCGAAAATTAGCACCTTCGACAACTGCCTCTATTTACGTATAGTCGAAGTGCTAAAATCGCTTAAGCTGCTCCATACATTTGGAAAAGGTCGAGCTAGAAGTTCCAGCAAGGGAATCTCACTAGGACGCTTTGGAACGAATTTCAAGAATTTTGAAGTTACCAACCTTCACCTCGCCGATATTGGGCAGCTCACGTCTGTTCCACCTGAAATTTTATGCTAATATTTGAATGTTTCGCTGATATGTTTTGCATGTTCTGATAGCAAATTTCGTGCTCTATAACACTGCTATAGAAATCTGTTCTCCAGAGGTGTTTGCTTTCTGTTAAGTTCAGGTTATCATTACGGAACGCGAAGTCGTTGAGAACTAGCGTTCCCGTTCTCCACGAATTTTATGCTAACATTTGAATGTTTCGCTAATGTGTTCTATATGTTCTGATAGCCAATTTCGTGCTCTATAACATAACATAAAAATCAGTTCTCCGGAGCTGTTTACTTTCTGTTAAGTTCAGGTTATCTTTACGGAACGTGAGGTCGATGAGAATTAGAGTTCCCGACTTCCTCTCTCAACCGCTGTCCACTGAAGCTTCAAAGCTCCTAGAG